CCTTTGTGAGATAGCTACGTCACTGGCTGGTAGTGAGATAGCTACGTCACTGGCCAGTGGTGAGATAGCTACGTCACAGCTTAACTGACAGCTATTTTGTTAGACAATTCTTGTTTGGGATTACGCCAGTCATGAATCAAATTCTAGAAAATGCGAGCGCATTGAAGTGTATAACGATTAAATCTAAATTAATTGAATTTGAATTACAACAAGATTTCGTTCAGTCTTTAAAAATATAATGTCGCATGTTATTGCTTTTCCTTAATAAGATATTTCAGGCTATTGTTAATGTTATTGCTTTTTTTCCTAATCCTTAATTTTCATTGAAGTTTCGAAGCCAATCAGATTCAACCATGGAAACATATTTAAAATAAAACGTAATATATATATATATATATATATATATATATATATATATATATATATATATATATATATATTATATATATATATATATATATATATATATATATATATATATATATATATTATATATATATATATATATATATATATATATATATATATATATATATATATATATATATATATATATCTGAAAGTACATGGCTTTCAGAAATAATTTAACGAAATGAATTGTGTGGAACGAATCTGACAAGTTAATTAAATATTTACATTTTGGGATTGCAATTCGAAACAAGAATAATAATCTCGTTTCCGATCACAAAGGCCGAATCACGCGAGATCGCGCGCTTGATATGGTGACGCGATTGGTAGAGCATTCGCCGTGATTTGGCGATGCAGGGGAGAAATCATTGTAATCTATTTATAATGCATTCCATTAGTCACAGCTAATAAGGTTTAAAGAAGGATCCCACCTGTCACAGAGGAGCAGATACTGCACGTCCCGCGTGTCACAGAAAAGCGGATCCTGCGTGTTGAGTGGTACCTTGAAGGTCACGACTCTTTACGCCCACCCCCTCCACCCCCTTAAGCTCCCCAATTAAATCTCACATACAACGCAACCAGAAGAAAAAATACTCTTATATAAAAAATGTGCTATTAACTTTAAGCTGTCACCCAATACGTGCTTCTGAGATCCTATCAAATCTCAGCATATTCTGAAAGTACTTGCAATATGATTTTACCATTAAATGTATTGAAAACAAGACTCTCTGGCAAGGGTGAAATCACAGAAAGGCTTGCTGGCTATTCTTTCTTCTGGAGCGGGCGCGACCCTGACGCAAGGCGAGAAGCTGGTGTTGGCTTTGCTATCAAAACCTCTCTTGTGAGCAAGCTCCCCAGCTCTCCAAAAGGTATAAATGACCGTCTCATGACGTTGAAAATCCCCCTCTGCCATGGAAAGAAGTCTGCTACCTTAGTCAGTGCCTATGCACCCACCATGACAAACACAGAAGAGACCAAAAACAAATTCTATGAAGACCTGAAGACTGTTATCTCTTCCACACCGTCTGCTGACAAACTCATCATACTTGGTGATTTCAATGCACGTGTCGGCAGTGACTACACCTCCTGGGGGGGAGTGATTGGGAAGCATGGTGTTGGTCAGTGCAACAGCAACGGCCTACTGCTACTGCAGACCTGTGCTGAACATGACCTTCTAATAACGAACACCACCTTCAGCCTGCCAACGCGCAACCGGACCTCCTGGATGCACCCCCGTTCTAAACACTGGCACCTAATTGATTATGTCATAGTCAGAAATAGGGACCGCCAGGACGTGAGGGTGACTAAGGCCATGTGTGGCGCAGAATGCTGGACGGATCACCGCCTCATCGTCTCAAAGATGAAAATTCATATCCAACCTAAGAGACGACCTCAGGCCACGAAAGTTCCGAAACGCCTCAACATAAATAGGCTGAATATCCCTGATGTGAGACAAACTTTTGTTGACAGCCTAAGTCAACGCCTTGATATAATCACACTGGACAACCAGGACGCGGAAAAAGCGTGGACCACGATTCGTGAGACGGTCTACAATACAGCCGCTGAGCGCCTCGGACCCTCTACGAGGAAACACAGGGACTGGTTTGGACGAAAACAACACAGAGATCCAAATTCTTCTTAAGCAAAAACGCCGAGCATACAAGGCCCTCAATCGTGACCCAATGTCAACAGCAAAGACAGCTGCACTTAGGGGCATCCGCAGCAAGATCCAGATACAACTGCGCCAGATGCAAGATTCCTCGTTGAATTCAAAAGTGGATGAAATACAGGGCTTTGCAGACAAGAAAGACATGAAAAACTTCTACCGTGGCCTGAGAGAAATCTATGGTGTTTCCACCTCAGGTTCTTCCCCTCTCCTTTGTGCTGACGGTTCTACGCTCATTACAGACAAAGAGAACATCTTGGAAAGATGGGCGGAACACTTTGAAAGTGTGCTCAATACACCTTCCATCATTAATAATGAGGCTATTGAAAGACTCCCCCAGGTCCCAACGAACAATTCACTGGACGCCGTCCCAACTTTTGATAAGATACAGACAGCGATCCGCCAAATGTCCAATGGCAAAGTACCTGGCCCCGACATGATTCCTGCCGAAATCTACAAGGAGGGTAGACCAGCGCTGACGGATAAGCTATTGCACTTATTCCAAATCATCTGGCAGACGGAAACTGTAGCACAAGACCTCAAGGATGCCTCAATTATCCACCTGTACAAACACAAAGGAAACCGCCAGGCATGCGACAATCACCGCGCAATTTCACTACTGTCCATTGCAGGCAAGATCTTGGCCCGAGCCCTTCTGAACCGCCTGAATGCACATCTGGAGCTAGGTCTCCTACCCGAAAGTCAATGCGGTTTCCGCAAAAAACGCGGAACCATCGATATGGTGTTGGCTGCTAGACAGCTTCAAGAGAAATGCCAGGAACAAAATACAGACCTATATTCTACATTTATCGACTTGAATAAGGCCTTTGACAGGGTCAATAGAGGTGGCTTGTGGAAAATCATGAAGAAATTCGGATGCCCAGACAAGTTCACAAACATCATCCGTCAGCTACATGATGGTATGATGGCTCGAGTGCAGGACAACGGTCAATCATCTCAAGCATTCCCCGTAACAAACGGTGTAAAACAGGGTTGTGTTCTTGCTCCCACACTCTTCAGTACTATGTATTCCGCAATGCTGTCTGATGCGTTCAAGGACTCCACCACGGGCTTGCCAATCCGGTTTCGCACTGATGGATCAGTATTTAACCTTAGGAGGCTTCAAGCTAAAACCAAGGTCAAACATACCACGATCAACGAGCTTCTGTTTGCAGACGATTGTGCCCTCAATGCTTCATCAGAAGCCGTCATGCAACACAGCGTTGATATCTTCTCAGAGGCCTGCAATAACTTTGGCCTCAAGGCTAAGGGTGATGTTAAGGTTAAGGTTGATGTGAAGGCTAAGGGTGATGTTAAGGCTAAGGTTGATGTTAAGGCTAAGGTTGATGTTAAGGCTAAGGTTGATGTCAAGGCTAAGGGTGATGTTAAGGTTAAGGTTGATGTGAAGGCTAAGGGTGATGTTAAGGTTAAGTTTGATGTCAAGGTTAAGGTTGATGTTAAGGCTAAGGTTGATGTGAAGGCTAAGGTTGATGTTAAGGCTAAGTTTGATGTTAAGTCTAAGGTTGATGTGAAGGCTAAGGTTGATGTTAAGGCTAAGGTTGATGTTAAGGCTAAGGTTGATGTGAAGGCTAAGGTTGATGTTAAGGCTAAGGTTGATGTTAAGGCTAAGGTTGATGTGAAGGCTAAGGTTGATGTTAAGGCTAAGGTTGATGTGTAGGCTAAGGTTGATGTTAAGGCTAAGGTTGATGTTAAGGCTAAGGTTGATGTGAAGGCTAATGGTGATGTTAAGGCTCATGTTGACGTTAAGGCTCAGGTTGATGTTAAGGCTAAGGTTGACGTTAAGGCCAAGGTTGATGTTAAGGCTAAGGTTGATGTTAAGGCTAAGGTTGATGTTAAGGCTAAGGTTGATGTGAAGGCTAATGGTGATGTTAAGGCTCATGTTGACGTTAAGGCTCAGGTTGATGTTAAGGCTAAGGTTGACGTTAAGGCCAAGGTTGATGTTAAGTCTAAGGTTGATGTGAAGGCTAAGGTTGATGTTAAGGCTAAGGTTGATGTTAAGGCTAAGGTTGATTTGAAGGCTAAGGTTGATGTTAAGGCTAAGGTTGATGTTAAGGCTAAGGTTGATGTTAAGGCTAAGGTTGATGTGAAGGCTAAGGTTGATGTTAAGGCTAAGGTTGATGTGTAGGCTAAGGTTGATGTTAAGGCTAAGGTTGATGTTAAGGCTAAGGTTGATGTTAAGGCTAAGGTTGATGTTAAGGCTAAGGTTGATGTTAAGGCTAAGGTTGATGTTAAGGCTAAGGTTGATGTTAAGGCTAAGGTTGATGTGAAGGCTAAGGTTGATGTCAAGGCTAAGGTTGATGTTAAGGCTAAGGTTGATGTTAAGGCTAAGGTTGACTGTGGTGACTGTGTTCACTGTGTTGACGGTGTTAACTGTGTAGACTGTGGTGACTGTGGTGACTGTGGTGACTGTTGACTGTGTTGTCTGTGTTGACTGTGTTGACTTTGGTGACTGTGTTAAATGTGTTCGCTGTGATGACTGTTGTGACTGTGTTAACTGTGTTGACTGTGTTCAGTGTGTTTAATGTGTTCAATGTGAAAATAGGGGGAGGGGGTGGGATGGAGCAACTTCAATTTCTCAAAAGGTGAATTGAGAATCAAGTAAATCTTGATATATCACAAGTTTAACTGGGATAATCTTGATAATCTTGTGTTTAAACCAAAGGTTAATCTTGATAATCTTGTGTTTAAACAAATTAAGAAAGGAAACTCTCCTATTAAAAATGTTTGACTCATGCCATCAGATTCACACCAGATTTCGACTGTAAGCCTTGAGTACAAGTACAATAAATATATCTTTAATTTGTCAAACAAGTTTTCATTTCAACAATGTTTACAAAGTTCCACAACGAAAATCATCACTCACAAAAATACCGTGCTAATTTAGTAATTAGTGAAGGAGTTTAGGATAACATTATTATTTTTTTTTAAACAATTATACAAAACAGATAACGACTTATCCAGGGGATCTTTGTTCAAACCAAACACTGGATTTTATGTCACAAAATTACAGTTCGTGTTAATGGATCTACATGAGTCATCTGTCAATGTTTGTTAATGGAAATTTGAACAATGTCACTTATTGTAATAGTGATTAAAAAAAATTCCTCTTGGTGAATGAAAAATAAACCATGGATTTTGTGACATTTTAAAATTTCTTCATCTTTTGACTTCCTATTTCCCTCGGTATAGACCCCAGGCGTAGGCAGCTAGGCAGCCCAAGAACGCGATGACGCCCATGCCGAACAGGGAGTAGCACGTGACCATCTGGTAGAACGCGTACTGATACAGCCGTCGGGAGCACCAGTTCCTCGGCTCGTGCAGCGGCTGGGAGTAGTTCGGCTGCCAGATGGAGAACAGCCAGAAGTTGCCGAGGGCGAACCAGAAGAGGAGGAAGAACGACAGGATGTACCCGGTGAACCGGTAGCTGCGGGTCATGACGTCATCGTCGTCAACGTCGCTGTCGTCCTTGGAGTCGTCGAGCAGCACGTAGTCGCGCGCCCGCTTCTGCTGCCACAGGACGATGCAGAGGAAGATGAAGCCGAAGGCGCCGCCCACCAGAAGGTAGATGGGTATTTTGGGTTCCTTGGGGCAGTCCTCGAGGTATGACGTGCCTGGTCAGGGAGACAAGAATGAAATGTCAATCAAAATAAAGTTTCAATGTCAGATGAGCAAAAATGATACTCCCGATCAGGGGTTCTGAACTTGGGACATATGGCCCCCGGAAGAGCCACGGCAAACTCTTGGGGCATCGGAAAAGAATATCATTAGGGGACCACGGAGAGTTCTAAGAGACGCACTGAGGAGTGGGACACCAAAATTCACTTCTTTAAAATGCAGTGAAAATTTCTAATTAAATATTTTCAACTCATTTTTAAATTATGAACAGCTGTGACCAAATATTTATTACTAGGGGCACACCAAGAACAACATTATTTTACATTTTAATAGACTACATTTCTTAAATGGAGATTCTCCCTTTGTGTTATAATCATGTTTGTTACGTTGAAAAGATGAAAAGATTCATTCCATGTTTGTGCTGGAGCTGTAGTGCGTGCATTGGCCGTCACCACCAGCACTAGGAAAAGAAGCGTGCTAAAATACTTTCTCTATTTTTATTTCTCTCGGTCTCTCTCTCTCTCTCTCTCTCTCTCTCTCTATATATATATATATATATATATATATATATATATATATATATATTCACTTTCTCTCTTTCTCTCTCTTTATCTCTCTCTCTCTCTCTTTCTCTCTCTCTTTTTCTCTCTCTCTTTTACCACCAGCACTAGGAAAAGAAGCGCGCTAAAATACTCTCTCTATTTTTATTTCTCTCTCTCTCTCTCTCTCTCTCTCTCTCTCTCTCTCTATATATATATATATATATATATATATATATATATATATATATATTCACTTTCTCTCTTTCTCTCTCGTTATCCCTCGCTCTGTCTCTTTCTCTCTATCTTGATCACTCTCTCTTTGTCTCTCTTCATCCCTCTCTCTCCTCTTCACCCCCCTCTTTCTATCTCTCTCTCTCACTCTCTTTCTGTCTTCATAACCCCTCTATGTCTCTTCTACACCTTCTCCTCTACATCGCGCCTCAGTTACCAACAAACGTCAGTTTATAAGTTAGATACAAACTATTTATAAAGGGTGCGATCCAAGGGGGAGCTACCCTTCTCGTGACTTGGCCGAACACCAAGTTAACTGAGTGAGATACGGGTGTGTCCATTGGCTTCAGTGACACTCTCGTTAATTTTCCTAGGGACAATTATGTCAATTTTTCTAAGTGATGCTATGTCAATGTTCCTAAGTGATGCTTATGTCAATGTTCCTTGTGGACACTTATGTCTATGTTCCTTGTGGACACTTATGTCAATGTTCGTTGTGGACACTTATGTCAATGTTCCTTGTGGACACTTATGTCAATGTTCCTTGTGGACACTTATGTCAATGTTCGTTGTGGACACTTATGTCAATGTTCCTTGTGGACACTTATGTTAATGTTCGTTGTGGACACTTATGTCAATGTTCCTTGTGGACACTTATGTCAATGTTCGTTGTGGACACTTATGTCAATGTTCCTTGTGGACACTTATGCCAATGTTCCTTGTGGACACTTATGTCAATAGTTGTCGGTTCCAACTGTCTCCATGTTCTTCGGCAAGCAAAATATTTTATTTTCTTGACTCTATTTTTCAAACTATTCACCAACAGAAAAACCCTTGCACCACCCCAAAGAAGAAGAAATAAATTCGTTGAAATATTCATTCGCACAATAAGGCCCCCAAAAATTATAATTTATTTTTGTCAAGCTTCGGTTTAGGAACTGGTGAGCTTTTGCGTCAACTTAATGAATAGGAACAGAAAAGTGCAAAGTATTTCAGGAATAGTGAACTTTTGTGTAAAGTGTTACATGGGAGATAACTTGTTTGTTGGAGTTAACTCCTCGTGTCAAAGGAACATTCCCCTGAGCGTTCGGAAAACCAATTATCGCGTATCGATCGAATTACTTTGATCCATTGGTGGCAATTTAATGTGGCTTAACGTTCAGGGTGTTGCAGCTTACTGCAGCTTACTGCAGCTTACTCAAGCAAGTAACTTTCAATCAGTTAACTCATTTTTAATATGATAAAAGCCTTACAAAACATTGCCGCTTACATAGTCCACATAGTATTACAAACTAATGTAACTCACATAGTCCACATAGTATTACAAACTAATGTAACTCTTTTGAGTCAAGTCTTAGTTGGATAACTTGATAAAATAAGAGCATTATTGTGAGTATCGACTTCGATGGGCTCGCCACTGACTAGATAAATTATGGGCACGCCACTGACAGAATAATGGCTAAATCAAGAATACGACCCACATCTTGAGAGTGACGTCACAATTATTCCATCGGATATTACATCCGGGTCTATTTTAAAAAAATAATTTTGATGATGCCAAACTGTCAATCAAGGTTTTTTTTTTGATGATGCCAAACTGTCAATCAAGGTTTTGATGATGCCAAATTGTCATTCAAGGTTTTGATGATGACAAATTGTCAATCAAGATTTTGATGATGACAAATTGATGATGACAAATTGTCAATCAAGATTTTGATGACAAATTGATGATGACAAATTGTCAATCAAGATTTTGATGACAAATTGATGATGACAAATTGTCAATCAAGATTTTGATGATGACAAATTGATGATGCCAAATTGTCATTCAAGGTTTTGATGATGACAAATTGTCAATCAAGATTTTGATGATGACAAATTGATGATGACAAATTGTCAATCAAGATTTTGATGATGACAAAATGATGATGACAAATTGTCAATCAAGATTTTGATGACAAATTAATGATGACAAATTGTCAATCAAGATTTTGATGACAAATTGATGATGACAAATTGTCAATCAAGATTTTGATGATGACAAATTGATGATGACAAATTGTCAATCAATGTTTTCATGATTACAAATTGTTTACCTCAGACTCAGTCAGGGATTCAACAGTGCCAAAGTCATTGACATGATTACGGGATGCTCTTTGTTGGTCTACTGATCCATGATACTGACCCCCCCCCCTCCCCTTTTTTTTTTCTCCCCAAATCCCCTGGTAACAGTGAATCTCTTATACTGGCATTAGACAAGATATGTTACCTATCTTCAAAGTCATTGACATGATTACGGGATGCTTTTTGTTGGTTTATTGATCCATGATACTGCCCCCCCCCCTCCCCTTTTTTTTTTCTCCCCAAATCCCCTGGTAACAGTGAATCTCTTATACTGGCATTAGACAAGATATGTTACCTATCTCATTATGTTCCCCTTTACATTCTGATGAAATGGAGGGGGAAAAAAATAATCGATCATATTCTTAGATCGACTGAAAAATCATGTTCAGTGAAAATTTTAAAAACAATATTTAAAAAAAAAACATTTATACTATGGAAGAAATATAAAAGCGAAAGAAACACAAATCTTCCCTTCTGGACAGGATACTAACGAGGCAATCATGGCTTTTATAATAAAACATTTTTTTAAAAAATGGAAAAAAATATATTCTATTTTTGATTGGATAACAAATCCGTGTGTTTCATCCGACTTCTCCAGTTTTACGCCGAATGAATAAGAAGAAATTGTGTCACTCTCTTCAGATCGTGGATTCGAATTGAAGTTCATTGAATTTTGGATCTTGGTTAAAGATAAATCCTTGGGTCTAGAACAGCGGTTCTCAACCTGAGGGTCGCGACCCCTTGCACAGGGGTTGCATAAGACCAACTGAAAACACATTATGGCCTTTCAATGCTAATACATTCACAATCCTCCGTCTCCTTGTCAATCACGCATGCATTTAAAATTCATTGACTTTGATCAATCATAGAGTTTTCTGTATTCGAGTTTGATCAATCATAGAGTTTTCTGTATTTGAGTTTGATCAATCCTAGAGTTTTCTGTATTTGAGTTTGATCAATCCTAGAGTTTTCTGTATTCCAATTTTAGCAATAACAAATCCCTTAACGAAGTAGCAACGAAAATACTTTTATGGTGGGGGCGTACCCACAACAGGAGGACCTGTATTATGGCGTCCGGACATTAGGAAGTTTGAGAAAACTGGTCTTGAATGGAAATCTTCGCGAAGCGGGATTTTCAAAAATGGTAAAATTAAATCAAAGAAACAAGAGAGCCTGGGACATTTAGAAGAAAAGATGCGAGTGGCCTTTATCATTTGTTCGTCACAATATTGATGAAATCTGCCAAGATAAGCAAGCTAATTATCGCATTCAATTTGAGAAAAAATTTTTACCATTGTAATTTTTAAAGTAATTTTAAAATAAATATAGTTGCCTCAATGAATTTATGTATTTTGATGTTTTATCTTCAGCAGGGGTGGCGAACACTAATTCATGAATTTATTGTTTTTATTTTTATTTTTTATTTATTTTTTTTTTTTAATCGCGCAAAAAACGTACAACACAACATAAGCATTAAGTAAGCAATGGCCAAAACTATTCTTTTTCAAATCAAGGGCTCAATGTGTTTACGAATAATACAATATTGTAAGTGTTCCGCGCACAAACACAATGCGCTGTATAATGCGCCTTGGTAAAAAAAAAATAATAAAAATTCGGTGACCATATCAGTGGTTCTGTATCCCTCATTGTGTTCAGGTACCTCCCTCTTTACTCACTCCGCTCCTGGAAGTATGCCCAGTGGGTGGTGGAGGATTAATATATCTTTTGATTTCAGACATCTCCCTCGAAATTTAACATCTTTTTATAGAATAATATTAAATCTATGAACATTTTAAGTTAAAATCGATCTAAGAGTGGTTTGGGGTGTGTGTGTGTGTGTGGGGGGGGGGTTGTTTTGTTGTCTTCCTAATGATCAGACATAAAGTTCTGTGGTGACGTCACTTAAACTACGGCGATAAAATCCACTAACGTTGTTAAAAAGTTTGATCCCGGAGCACGAATCAAACTTTGCATTAATGAAACGCTGCGCGTGGCCGGCGTTTACGATAGTCTCAAAACCGAAACTCTTTTTTTATGGTCGGGTCCTACATAGAAGCTGAAACTTCAAACCAAGAAAGGACACTGCCATGATAGAAATGAACGGGCCAGCATGAAAGGGAGTTAATTTTATATGCACATTTTTGTTCCAATGTGATGACTTCCCGTCCTTGATGTGATTTGACGCAGCTTTTATGAAAAGTTCACGAACATTTTAAGTGCAGCAAGTGTTGATGAATTGGGCCAAAATGAATGGGACCATAATGAATCGGGCCATAAAACTGAGTGCTGTGCCATGCATAAAACAGCCAATTAATTAAGAAGTACAAGAAAGCTGTTCATACACTGTATGCTGTCCGCAGGGGAAGTCATGCAGTTTTGATGAAATGAATTTAACCCCCCCCCCCCGGTCACAGCACACAAAGAGTGACGCGTAGCTGTAAAAGAAATCTACAGAGTTAGACAATCTGAAATATAAAAAATACGGCTTTCTTTTGGAATTTATTGTAAGTGACAGTTTTCTGATAGGGCAAGCTGTTGAGCCGGGTTCGAATCCACGATGATCCAACTGATTCTTCCTCACCCCACCCGACGCCCTGAATTCTTTTATTTATTTATTTTTTTTAAATGTATTTTTAGCATTTCATTCTTAAATGTAGCAAAACACTGACGTCATAAATTAAATTTGTTGTAAACGTTGAATACACTGAAGAAATGTGACCCATCGAAGAACCATTATCCTACAGGTTACTTCATTTTTGACGGGTCATTTTGCTAGTGCTGATGTACAATAAGATGGACTTGGACTTACCTCCGGCGGCTCATGGCTCGATGAGGATTGAACATAGTCCAGGCCGGAGGAATATTTTGGACAAAGCTTCAACTTCATGGCCTTTGTAGTGCACAGTTCCCAGGTACATGTCAATCAAACTATTTTGTGCTTTTTTTTATGTCACATTTTTACGTCACATAGTTAGATCCTGTTGTTACGCCGTACAGTTCCGCAATCCTGTTAGTCATATGGTTACGTCGTACGGCTACGTGACACTGTTACGTCACACTGTTACGTCACACCGTTACGTCACACCGTTACGTCACACTGTTACGTCACATAACAACATGATGCGCTCAACGTTTCGAAATATCAATGACCAATGCTGTTTTTATTGAGAACTTTCCACCAATATATTCTCCAGAACATTCCCCGACACATTCTCCAGAGCATTCCCCAACAATTTCTCCTGAGCTTTCCCCGACACATTCTCCAGAACATTCCCCGACACATTCTCCAGAGCATTCCCCGACACATTCTCCAGAACATTCCCCGACACATTCTCCAGAGCATTCCCCGACACATTCTTCAGAGCATTCCCCAAAACAGATCACACCACAACTTATTTAAAACCACATCTTAAATTTTAATTTGACAAAATCTATGAGCAGTGGCGGAGCCACTCAATTCATTTTTTTTTTGGGGGGGGGCAATTAGTTACCGTGAACGACATTTTTATGTCCATCTATATTAAAAACCCATGCTATAGCCCAGGCTTGGACAACATACGGCCCGCCTAACATTTTGGGTTGCGCAGGCGATAGCCCCATTTCTTTAGTAGAGTTTTTATGAGCCTTGCACTGTCAAATTTAAACATTATTTCATCTCATGACTTTTTTTTTGTACAAATACATAAATATAAGGCATTTCGTAAGACTCACCCATAGCTAACATTGATATAGGCAGACCCAGCAGCAGCAACAGAAGGACTGTCAACACAACTAGAGTAGGAAGAGAAACTGGAGATATTTATATTTTCAACAACATTCAAAAGTTTTATTAAGTTAAAAATGTCAATCGGTATTTGATTTCAAATAAAAGCTATCATCAATGACATGGAATAGCCAATTAAAGGTATTTAATGAGTGGTGGTGGCATTACAGGTGGGTTGGGGTGGAGTCATGAACGGAATCAAGCTTGACTTCTGTGCGCTCTCTCCCACTCCCATTTCTCACATTCCATTTTCAAAATGAGTTGCATATAATGTTCATGGTGTACACTATGTGTACGACCCGATAATTGCCATTATTTTTTTGCGTGGCTCCTCCAAATTGTTTAGCTTCCAGGTAAAAATAAAACTGAACCATAGTGGGGACCGTAAAACATTCATTAATACGAGGACACTTCTATCAACTAAGCTGAAAATGTAATGTCAGCCTGCCAAAGTTCAATGGGCATCTCACGTGACTACCAAAGTTCAATGAGCAACTCACGTGACTTCCAAAGTTCAACCGAGCAACTCACGTGACAGTCAAAGTTCAATGAGCAAATCACGTGACTGCCAAAGTTCAACCGATCATCTCACGTGACTGCCAAAGTTCAATGAGCAACTCACGTGACTGCCAGACGATCTCCCAGATGCGCTGCAGGAAGTCATACAAGTCCACAGACTCGACGTGTGCCTCGCGGAGCTGGAACAGAATAGAGCCGTAGTTGACGTGCTGGTAGCTGTCGTTGGTCAGGTAGGTGGTGCTCTGGTGGACCAGGTTCTTCTCTTCATTCAGGGTCTGGTGGATACACAAGACAAAGTTCAAGGAACAACATTTAAGTCATAGTTGCATCTCTTATATAATATATTAAGCTTCTGGTGTGACTAGGGGACTGCTTCCTAAAGGACTGCTTCCTAAAGGACTGCTTCCTAAAGGACTGCTTCCTAAAGGACTGCTTCCTAAAGGACTGCTTCCTAATCATCGAATTTGGTATTGAGAGTATATTAAAAGTAATAAGGGTTTGAAAGAAATTATGCTTCTATAATGAGTTTAATAGCGCGTAAAATATAATTCCCAATAACTACACTAAATGATATATTTTTTTTTATAAATAACGCAACTGCGTTTGGTGCGTAATATTTCCTTTTCGTAAAATTAAATTGTCTCTTTTTAAGTATAGTGTAAAAAAAATATTCAGTTTAAAAGTGGTTGGGACATGAGAATATTAATATAGTTCATTGGCGTGAAGTAAAAAGTGTGCAGTGACGTATCATGGAAGGGAAGAGGTGTAGCAAAAATTGGGATTCTTAAATGTGCGTTACTTGAGTTCATGTTTTGTCAAGTAACTTTAGTAGATGGGAAGCCCACGCATTACTTTCGCCCATGTTTGGCGGGCTATATTTAGTACTAGCGAGTACCCGGCATGCGTTGCAATGCCACTCACAGAAAGAAAGTGTTTGCATGTTAATTATGTTTCTTCAAGAGCTTTTAAATACTCAGAGTTTTTCTTGTTTTTCCATCTGGTATATACACGAATAAATCAGAAGATTTTCCGACGCGAGAGCAGGCCACATACATCTGTCCATGGGCGAAGCATGGGTTTTCCAAATTTAGTCCGCAAACTTGTAGCGATTGTCCCTGTGCTTTGTAGATAGTCATTGTAGACGCGTGTCGCATCGGAAACTGTAGGCGTTTGAATTCAAAGGGCATATATGTTGACATCATTGGGGTGAATGGCAAAAGTACATCACCTAGTTTAAATTTTCCATTTAAAATAGTAACTTCAATGGAACCAATTTCGGAATATTCATTTGAAAAAATATGAATAGTATTTCATGGCACTGTCTTTCTTATTCGAATTTCTCAATTTGATGTCAAAATGATATCCATCTTCTCCTTGCCAAAATAAAATAGGATATTGCAATCAAACGTATGAGCGATGAGTTTCTGAGACTCGCTGAACATCAACACTTCTGCGATGAAGAATTATATCACTTGAGTTAAATTCTTTGCCAACTATAATGATCGCCACTTCATCAATTGTTGGTGCATTGTATTGTCTTTCATGTTGGCCGACAGGTGTTTAGTCTGCTCTAACTATGACTTTGTATTCATCAGTCGGCATCTTTTCAAGTGCAACTCTATACATTTGAATTAATTCGTTGTGTTGCAAAAATAACGTTTGCATTGCAGCGACGATTTCTCGTTTAGTGCCCGTATTGATATGACAACGTTGATCGATTTGCTCATCAGTATTCCCCATGAAATCATTTGAAGACATTTGTGATCTGTGTTTGGCATTGGCATCAGAGATCCTACACGATGGTAAATTTGGCCTTTCACTTTACTTTAAATGTTGGCATGTAATTCTCGCGCACGATATTTGTTGCACCGAACGATGTCATTTGGAAACATGAATTGCATTTGCGTATGTTTGCCAAGAAATGTTTCGATTGGCTATTGTCACCTGATACCAACAATGATAATGGTTTTGATGGTGAATGTAATTCTCACACGTTAGGATCTCCCATCTTTTTACATGAAAACCTCGCACAATAGGTACGTTCATTGTTGGCAGGAGATTTCCAGTTGTATAGTTTCTCATTAATTTATAAATCGTAAATTCCAGCGGTAAAAAATGACCATAGTTCAATATCTACGCTGTCAAGTGTGTTATTTAATTACTTGAGAAACCATCGATTGGTGTAAAATGTATTTACATAACACAAAACAACTCCGAAATTATAAGACTCTATTCAAGAAATACTCTTAGTTGAAAAAAAAAACGCGATTTCGATGTCATTTCCGATTCTAAAATGCGTCACAAAATTCAAGCTCATTTATACACATAACAAAAATACTCTCTACACTAAAAATGTAAAAACGTGTTTTCTCTGCTTTACTACAAATGTGTCATTTGTTCAAGGGCGGTAGTGTTGATATCTTCGTTATAAATTATATTGATGAAGCTCATTTAGGAAATAAATTGAATTTAGGGTCCCCAGCCCTAATTGGAATATTGTACAATGGATGTACTAAATTTGAAAAATTTGCCGGCGGATTCAGCTACTTCCACACATGCAATAGCTCTGTTTGAAATTATAGTTACAAAGCTCTTAGAAGAAAATATGAAATTAGGGTCACTGGCCCAAACGGAATATTGTAAAATGTTTTTTTCTAATTTAGAAACATTTTCGGTAGTGCGCATTTCACTTGACCCAGTTTGATCACAATCGAATGAATGGTATAGAAATGCATACTATAATTATATAGATAATAGAAGTGTGGAAAACGAATTTAGGACCCCCCTCCACAAATGGAATATTGTAGAATTGTTGTATTACTTCAGAAACCTACTTAATATGTCACACACTCAATTTAATATCACTATTTGTATTTGATTAAAAAGCTATCCATTCATGCTTTAGCTCTGTTTGAAATTATAGTTGTATAGCTTAAAATTATAGTTGTATAGCTAATATAGAAAAAACGAACATAGGACCCCTGGCTAAAAACGGAGTATTTTAAAATGGTTGTAATCATTTAAGAAACCTTTGCGGGCGGGCGCGCGCACAACATCTCTCTAAAATTTTATCGCATTGTAATAATGTAGAGGAGCGCATACGGAAATTATTTTTTTTTAAGCTCCTAATGTACGGAAAAAAACACGAATTTGGGGCGATTTCCAAAAAAAAAAACGGAATATTTTAGTAGAGTTATAATGGCTTAGAAAAATGCTCTGGCTTGGACAACAACTCACCTCAGTTTTATCGCAAGCGCTTGAATGATGTAGGAGCGCATGCGGTTTAAAATTATATTTATATAGCTCATTTTGTAAGAAACAAACATAGGGCCCCTGGCTCAACACTGAATATTTTAAAACGGTTATAGTAATTTAAGAACCTTTGTGGGCGATAGAACAACATGTCACTAAATTTTTATCTGAATTTCTGAAAAATGGTATAGGAAAATTATTTTTTACAAAGCGCATATAAGAAAAAATAAGAATTTGGGTCAACGGCCCAAAACGGAATATTTTAAAAGTATTGTAATGAATGGTTATGTTTATAGATAACAACTCGTCAAAGTTTTGTCGCCATCCCGTGAATGGTGCAGGAGCGCATACGGTTTGTAATTATATTTATATAGCTCGTATAAGAAAAAAACGTAAATAAGGCCGCTGGCTAAAATTGGAATATTTTGAAAAGTTTATAATAATTTAAAAACCTCTGCGGCCGTGCTTCAACATCTCACCAAAGTTTTACGTTTTATTGCAATCGGATAAATGGCGTAGGAGTGCATATGAAAATTATTTTTTACAAAGCTCATATAAGAAAAAATACGAATTAAGGGCCAACGGCCGAAAACAGAATGTTTTTAAAAGTGTTTAAATAACACAGTAAAATGCACTGGCGCATGGACAACAACTCACTAAGTTTTGTAGCAATCGCTTGATTGGTGTAGGAGCGCATACGGTTTGAAAATATATTTATAAAGCTCATATAAGGAAAAACGAATGTGAGGCCCCTGGCTCAAAATTGAATAATTTAAAACGATTGTAATAATTTAGAAATGTTTATAGACATGCTCGCAACATTTCACCAAAGTTTTATATGAATCGGATAAATGGCGTAGGAGTTAATGTGGAAAATATTTTACAAAGCTCATATAAGAAAAAAAACGAATTAAGGGCCAACGGCTAGGAACGAAACACTTTATAAGGTTTTTAATGACTCAGTTAAATGGCCGGTTATGTGGAAAACAACTGTTTAAAGTTTTGTGGCAATCGCATGAATGGTGTAGGAGCGCATACGAGACATACAGACAGACAGACATACAAACATTCATTTTTATATATATATATAGATAAAATTATTTGTAATATACTCTCAACACCAAATTCGCTGAATAGGAAGCATAAAATGTATAAGAGATTCGTGAAATGAGCAGGATTCTAAATGAAAATGTTCCCAAGAAATCGTTTTTAAGGATTTAACCTCTAATTTGATCTATGTTGCCAAACAAAGTCAAATGTTAACCTCTAATTTGATCTATGTTGCCAATCAGAGTCAAATATTTTAATCATGATAATAAATTATGTGTTAACACGATTACCGCTAAAACACTATCTGGACATTTAGCAGATGGAACTCAGACCGATTTATATTTGAACGAGGAGAAATTCGTGTATTCTGGAATATTACTTTTAAAATTCAATTGACATTCCTTATAGCCAACTGACAATTACAGCCAACTGACCATTACAGTCAACTGTCACAGCCAACCGACCCATACAGCCAAATGACTCTTACAGCCAACTGACCCTTCAAGCCATCTGACGACTACAGCCAAATGACCCTTACAGCCAACTGACCATTCAACTGAAAATTGTATCATGCAGCTGCAATTTGTGTTCTTTAAGCCCCCATGTTTAGTTTATCCTCCTGAGTCCCGAGAGGCAAGTTAGAGTGAAATCAACTTGACACCTATTTTATTGTGCTATAAGTGATGCTGAAATGCTAAAAAAACATTGAAACAAAAAAATTTGATTTTGATATTTGATTTATTTGATGTGCAGTCCACTGGACATCGGGATCCAAATCATTTTTTGCCATACGTAAAAAAACAACAAACAATTGATTACAAAACTCAATCACAAATGTTGCAGGGTTGAACCTTTTGATTATTTCCATCAATGTTTTGATGAACAATTCTACACATTGGAGATGTCTTGCCTGATGTATCCCTCAATACAAATGTACTGGACAACTTCAAATAGGGTGCCAAATATTGCAGAAT